TCCTCCTCCTCCTCCTCCTCCTCCTCCTCCTCCTCCTCCCTTTTTCTCAGATTCTTCCGGGATAAGCAATCCGAGGAACCTCTCACAAGCAGCCAGCCCCTGTTGCTGTCTTCTTCTCAGTGCTTTCCGAACAAAGTAAACACACCTCTGCTCTGGCCAAGCCCAGCTGTCTGTGCCTGCTGCAGACACTCTAACTGCACACATGCACGAGTATTACACATCCCTCCACAGCTGCTTCTTTGCACATTCACCTTCCCAATGGCCCAGCCCCTATGAGCCAGGCACAGCCAATCCTTGTGAAGCAAAAGGCCTCTCTGACATCAGTCGGGAGGGAGATGACTCACTGATGTTAGAGGAGTGTCTCAAACTATCAACACTCCATTGCCTCAAGCGAGGACGAGCCTTAATGAAGAGGTTTCTTTTAAGAGAAAAAGAAACAACACACCGGCTTCCTTCTGCTTCCTCCTACAGCAATAGTAAAAGCCTAATGGGAATGAAAGTGCCGAAGGAGTTTCTTTGGCAGAAACTGAGGTGCAAAGGACAAAATAAACTTTCCCAAGATCCTGCTGTAGATAAGCAGAAGGTGATCTTTTCCTAGATCACCTTGAAAGCCCTATTGGTGAGATGAGGGAAGTTCACTTGGATTTGAGTACTGATGTGTATGTTGATGAATAAACTGAGCTACAAAACAGGAAGCTTTCAGTTCCCAGTTTGAATCTGCCAATAAACTTATGAGGCAGCTAATAGGCTCAGCCTCAAGCTCTGCACTCTGTCATTTGTGGAACAATAACCACGACTTGATCGGCAGGTTAGTTTGTAAGGAGAATGCATTCAATGCACTTTGGACACAACCAGAAGTGCTATTCAAATGGCAAAGATTATTTATACTTTAGGGAGAGGCAGGAAATCTATTTCCTTTTTACCATTTGCATGATCTATTACAATATGTAAGATGATAATAATGATTATTATTATTTTGATTAAGAAGAAGTAAATTCTCTCTTTTCCTGACATGGTAGGAACAGAACTGTAGTAATCAACATTGGTTAAAAAAAATTTTTTTTTAAAGGGGTCTGGTAACATTTTTTTCTGACTCATGTTTTTTTATTAAAAGGTAAAAGATTTGTCTTTTGATGGGAGCTGCAGCTCTCAAAATCTTATGCCATTTAATAAAAGATCCTAGCCAGCAAAAGTGGTATCAGTCCTCGGTTATAGTCCTCAGGGAATTGTGTCTGTACAAAGGCTGGTCTACAGGTTATTTCAAAAAGGACTGCAGCACTCTAATAATTCAGCAAAAAACATGCTCTGGTAAAGTGTTTGCTTTCCATTTTAAATCCTGCTAAGGGTACTCAAGTCACAGCCTGGCAAGTTGGCCTGGCCCCAGAGTTCTGGTATTCACCCCTTTCCTCTGACAACTCATCCTCTCTTCCTGTTGCTCATTCGCCTCTCCCAGTGGTTGGAACAAATCAAACTCTTACGTTCCATATTGCATGTAAGATGGTATGAGTGGGAAGGTGGAATTCTAAGGCTGTTGAAAAGCATATTTTCACACCACCATAAAGAAGAATGGATCGACCTATTCTCCAAAGCACCAGAGGGCAGGACAAGAAGCAATGGGTGGAAACTAATCAAGGAGAGAAGCAACTTAGAACTAAGGAGAAATTGCCTGACTGTTAGAACAATTAATCAGTGAAACAACTTGTATTCAGAAGTTCTAAATGCTCCAACACTGGAAGTTTCTAAGAAGAGATGGGATAATTGTTTCATTTGTCTGAAAAAATTCCACAACAAAAGAAACTAACAAAGTTGTTTCATTTGTCTGAAGCAATAATGCATAAGATTTCCTGCCTGAGGGTTGGACTAGAAGACCTCCAAGCTCCCTTCCAACTCTGTTATTCTGCAAGGGATTATTGTGATTTCTAGTCAACCAGAAAACATGATTGCTGGCCTGCTGGATTTCCTTAGAGAAGATCATGTGCACTGAGGAGATGTCAGAAGAAAAGGATCTGATATAAGAGATGGAGCTTAAAGTGTAATCCCACTTTTGTTTTGCCCAACTCATTCATTGGATTTTTAGGGGGAAGCACGGTCTTTAGTTGCCACACTATAATTTGCCCCCTGACTTTTATCTCACAGATTTGTATAGTTATTGTTGAAACATCAGCCCTATGAGGCAGACCAGACCAAAAAACAGACTCCACATAGACCTAAAACTATTTTTTTAAAAAATAAAATTGGTTATAGTAACAGAACTTAACAAGTCTGAATGTCTTTCCCTCCTTTTTTTTTAATATTTGCGTGAATTAGGACTGTCCGTCTTGAGGTGGTTTTGTAAAATTATCTCCTCCTTTGGGCTCAACAGAAAACAATGTTTACCTGTTTTTGCTGCCTTGATAATGAATCTTCCCTTTCTCTGTCAAGGCCATCTCTATCATTCTCGCCGTTAAGAGAACTTTGTACAGGGAAATAGCATAATGTTGTAGAGTGAACTTTTCCCTCCAAAAGGAAACCTAGTAATCCCCAAAGTAAACAAACAGTGCTCAGTTATCTCACACAGTTAATCTTACTGGTTAATTTTTAAGAAGCTTAGTTCTTTTTTAAAGGACTGAAGAGTCGCTGCTTTCCAATAAGGAATAGGAGTGGGGACAGAGAGGAACACACCTTCCAGTCACTCTCTAAGCCAGAGGTCTCCAAACTTGGCAACTTTAAGACTTGTGGACTTCAACTCCAAGAATTCTCCAGCCACCAAGAGAGGAGACCCCTGCCAAGCCTTATTGAGGCTATTTGGAAGCTTCCTCTGAACTCTTCTTGAAAGGAGCCTGTGAGGTCTTGGTGTCTGGGGGATCCTGTCCTTGAAAAATTGGCAAACGAATCTGATAGGAGGGCCAAACATTGAAAATTGACATACTTACTATAGTAGCCTTTCTTGTAGGTCATTGTAAAAGTTTATTTACAGAAAGGCTAGGACTTGGAATACATCCATTGCTTGCTTTTACTTTGCATTACTTTTTTCTTCCACAGAAAGAAAGATATATAGTCAGCAAGAGGACATTCCATTTCATCCTTATATACATGACACATCAAAGGATTCTCCCCTGCTCCTTTCAGTGTACTTAGTGTTCCAAACTGGTGATATTATTTTGCCATAAGACAGGAACCCCTGAAACATCTCTCATCAATTTTGTCCTCAACAATTAAAATACAATCCTCCTCCTCCTCCTCCTCCTCCTCCCCTTCCCGCCCCCTCCTCCTCCTCTTCTCATCCTCCTCTTCCTCGTCCTCCTCCTTCTTCTGTCCTTTTCAGCCTTGCTTTGTCTAACAATAAATCTGCTCTACCCTCCAAACACTCATGACAAAAATCAGAAAAGAACTCAGTTCTAAAATTGTTCCACTTCCTTTGGAAAGTTGCAGATTTTGGTGCTTTCTGTACCTCAACAGTTGAACTATCACTTAATAACAAACTTCCACTAATTGAATTATCTGTAGAGATTAAATAATGCTGTGGATAACAAGGGCAAAATGGCTCAACTCTTCACTATAGTTATATCAACTCCAAAACTATTACAAACAATTTAAACCCTTGCGCTCATACTTTTTGTTAGGCTTGGCTCCGTGCTTAGTGTAAAGTCTTTAAGAATCTGAAGTGGCCTGCCAGTTTGGTGTTGGAGGACTAGGATAAGTAGAGATTCTGGGACATAGAGTTTCGTCCCCTTCCATGCTAGGTCATCTCTTTTTGTCAAGGTATGTTGATTGTCCCGGAACCAGCGGTCTGTTAGCAGTTCACTTTTGAGTTTCATGGTTAGGTTGCTTGTGGGTTGGTCTTGCTGGTTGCAGCGTTGTCATCTGGTGGTTACTTGGGCAGCTATTTGGATAATGGGGATGATGGAATTTACAACCTCCTCCCGTTCTCATTTGTACTGGGGCATATAGGAGAGGGCATCAGCAAGAAAGTTCCTCCCCCCGAGATGTGTTTTAGCATGAAGTCTAAACAACACACACACACACAGGCTTGGCTGAAATCCAGTCACATGTTTTGTGTGGGATTGGATCTCAAAATGGTGTGATATGGAGTGTGAAATTTTCTGTTTTTTATTGGGTTATAAAATAGAATAAGATACAAAATATGAAAGCAAATAGTAAAAGGAAGAGGGGAAGAGAAGTGAACGAGGGTAAGAAAAGAAAAAGAAAAAGAAACATTTTGTGAAATTTTCAAAGTCCATATGGTTGAAACTCTTCTCCCGCTAAATAAATCCCATAAAACATTATTGGGCAAATATCTATACATCAGGAATCTGCTAGGATTTTTAGCTTATTGAAGTGATGTTCAGATCCAAAGCAAAAATTAATAAGAAGCCCTCTAAGTGATTCCCACATAATACTCAAACCAGTTAAACTACAATTTGCTGAAAATCTGCCGCTGGGGAAGGAAATGGTGAAGCATCAGCCAAAGATTACTAAAAGTGTAATGCAACAAGCTGAGACTTGCCTATATACTCATGGGTCAGTCTACTTATTTTTCAGGTTTTTCATACAAATTTTTTTTCCCTCAATCAGAATAAAGACAGCTGTTCTGCTCAGGAAAATGGGCCAACTACAAATCGGAGAATTTTAATATTTCATTTATTTTTTGTCTGTGAACTTGTATCTGAGCTGGTGCCGTGGCATGAGATGCCATATTCCTTTTTCAGTAGCTGACATGCCTCCAATATACTTGAAATCACGAAACTTCCAGGTTCTTGCCTGACCTGCTACCCAGCTTCTAGGCACAAGTCAGCATGACTCTCCTGAACCCTCCATCAATGTGTAATAATGGCTGCAGCTGATGTGGGAAAGCATTAGGCATCAAAGCTTTCCCAAGGAAATTTATATGCAGGAGGAATGACAGTTGATGGGAAGATAGCTTTCTTCTTGAACCATAGCTCAAATTTTAGGCAAAATCAACAAGCAAAATGCACACAGAAATAT